CGGTTCAAAACAGCTTTGCAGTCTAGCGCATTAACCCACAGCGCCACACCAGGACTCCAGTAAGTAACAAACCTTAAAGATAGTTTGAACCACAAGATCAGCAGTTCAAACTCACCAGTCGCTCCTTGGAAACCCTATACAGGGTTGCTGAGTCAACTTGATGACACATAACAAGAACACAAAATTTTAGTTCTGGTGAAGCACTGGATGGCTAACTGCAAAGTCGGCAGTTCAAACCCACCAGTCACTCCTTGGAACCTTGTACAAGGTCACTATGAGTCAGAACCAACTCTGCAGCACCTAACAACATACAATTCTAATACTTCAAAGAATCATAATATTGGGATTGTATCTATACTACTATACTCCTTTACTTTCAGCCTTGAAATCCCTTTCTGTTGCCCTCACCTCTGGGAGCACATAGGAAGCGGCAGAAATCAGCAGATAGGAGGCAGGGACCCCAGCACGGACCAGATAACGCAGTGTGTGCCTTCCCTCCAGCCGTGGCCGGCTATCCACTACTACTACCCGAAACCGCTGGCCCTCAGCCCAGGCTTCCTGAAGAATTCGTGACACGAGAGATGAGCTAAAATGGAGAGAAGGATTCAGCTATAAATACCACTAATGCCCAGTCCATTCCAAAAGGGTAAATCCCTTCTTTCAGGCCATTCACCCCCAACCCTACCCCCAATTTTCCTAGTCACAGTGTACTTTCCCAGTACCTTGCTCTGGACCTTACATACCACCCATACACCAGGATCACATCTCCATTACTGATCTTCTTGTAAGCAAAGCGTGAAATTGCCTGAGCTGCAAGGACAATCTTCTCCTGCACATACAGATCAATGGCTTTTCCAAGTTCTGACTTGGCCTAGAAAAAAAACACACATCTTTCTGGTTATCATGCTTGACTATAATATGAATAATGATGTACTCAAACATGGCACGAGTCAGACTGCCCAACTACTTCCTTAACTCTTGACTGGGGCAAGATGGCTTTCATTGCCCTTCCTGGGGCAACTCTCTTAAACATGTTTCTTAACTCTACCCCCAGCTGCATGCCTTTCTCATTCTTCATACTCATCACCTCCTCTTCCCGCTTGGAGCTGCTCACACCCGTGATCTCCTTGTTAAGGAACTTGATGGCGTTGTACATGCTCGCTGACAGGGGACGGCACTGAGTCAGGAAGCTACAACAACAATACCTTATATGTGTGCAACTCTTTACATCTTATAAAGTTTTCACTTAAAAAAAAAAAGCTTTAGAAAGAAAACAACAGAAAAATTTGAACATAAAATAACAATGCAGTGAGTGGATAAGGTAGGAGTGGACTGGTTGTGGCTGTCCTTACCTGATATAGGGTTTTAGTTTATTCACTAGATCCCTTGAAAGTTCTTCATTGGGAGGTGTTGTGTAATCCTGAATCACCTATCGAGTACAAAAGTAGATCAACAAAAGACCCCAAATAAAGATCTCTGGATGGAGGATAGAGAGAAACCTCATTGAGGAAAAGTATTCTTTTCTAAGGGTAGAGTCCTTCTTTCTTTCCCCTAGAGATTACCTTGGCTAAGGGAAGCTGGGACAGTATTGGGGAAAGTGGGGCTAGATCTTAAGAGGAAATAGGATGGGCATACCTGCTTCAAGGCATGAAGTAGGGCAATACACCGTGCATTGGAGCCACTGACCAGGCCCTGGGAGTACTGCAGGCCGAGTTGCACCATGGCTGGGTGGATCACAGAGGATGGGATGCTGATGGGATGGCTGTGTCACACACTTTGCAAGGAGCTTGAGCACCTACTGCCCACCTGCCCCTGATGAAAAGGAACTTTCTTCACTAGCACAGACTCCCCTCTTTCTTTCAGAGTTTTGCCTTGAATCCATATTTCTCCCCCAAGACCCAACCTCAAATTTCCAGTCATTTTCAAAACTGAGTTACTAAAAGCCCCAGACATAAAGGTTATTACAATTTCTTAAGACCCTACCTCATATACTGGGTCAGAGAGTGTTGTCGGCTATACTGGGGAAGGTGCGAAAAGAGGCTGACTTTAGATCCATAATCCTTCCGTGTAGGAACCTTGACAAAACAGGAAATAGGACCAGTGGTCCCGAGATGAAAACTTATGGGAAAAACTGGAAAGAAAGTGAATGGTGAGACTACTTGAGTCCAATACCCATTCTTCCTCAGAGTTTCACTTTGCCCTGAACACCTTTCTTCCCTCTATCCCATTTTCCTAGGCTCCTTCTGACCATACAGCAAACTCACTGCCTACCTGTTGGCGCTCTGGTTTCTTAACAAGTCTTCTCAGAAGTGTAGGGTCATCAACTTGAGTATACTCAGGGAGATGCTTCATTCCTAAAAGATAATGACCATGTTCTTAAGAAGCTGTATATAATATTGGGTCATTTGATCTTAGAGAATAAGAGATAGTAAAAAAAATAAACAGGATTTAAATAATTTTTTTAAAAAACTCAAAAGACTTCTGGCAAAAGGGCCGACTGGGCAGACATACTGCAAGGACCCTCTACAACAAAAGCCAGCCTGCCAGCTGCTCCTCGAGAGAAAGAGGTGTCTTTCTGCTTCAGCAAAGATTTAAAAGCTGAAAAGATTTAAAAGTCATGGCCATAAGTAAGCAACACCCCAGGTGAGCTATGGTCCTGGGTGACTTACAACCCAGGAGAAGACCCGATATTCAAGCAAAAGAACTATGGAAGTATATAAAACTTCACACCTCAAGATAGAGACTTGACCCCAGTGAACTGTTTGGGATAGGAGGTGGAAAAGGGGTGTAGCCACTGTTCCTTTTCAGACTGCAAAGTCGTTTGAACTGCAAGGTCAGTGGTTCACCAGCTTCTCCTTGGAAACCCTACATAGGGTCGCTATGGGTCGGAATCGACTGGACAGCACTTAACAACAACTGCTACTTTGAAATGAATAATTTCATTGTTCAAACAAACAAAAACTATCTATGATGGGGGAAGGGAAATTATTCATGGGTCATAAAGCAGAAACATGTTGATATAGATGACAGGGCAAACAATATACAAGAGGAAGATTAATAGAGGAAAGATGAAGGTAGTAGGAGACACAGGGAGGAAAGTAATAGTTACGGGAATAGAAGTAAATGCTGTTAACTGTTGCTACATAGAGGAGACTGCAAAAGTAATGAAGCAAAGATTATGATATGCTCAGTGTAAAACTGGTGATGATCTGATCTGTAAACCTGCACTCAATTCACAATAAAAAGTTTAAAAAGAAAGAATTTCAAGATGAATGAACAGGTGTTGAATGGGCATAAGGAGATTTTTGAGCTCTGGTTCCCTACGCCGAAAAATAGGAAGGAGAGCTGTTTTACCCTGTGGAGGACTGAGCTAGCATAAGAATTAGGAGTAACAGAGGTCTTGAAATGAAGGGAAGATACCTGCTGAGGGGGGTTCTCCAGCTGTGCTGGGGCAGGCCTGAGGAGGTGGTCCTCCTGGTTCCCCTTTCCTTGCCTGTTTCAGGGCTCGCTCTGCCTCCTGCTTGGCTCTCCGCTCAGCACGAAGTTCAGCTTTACTTCGTCCAGCTGGAATTTTCTCCCCAGGAGTTTCTATCTGATGGGGGGACCCTGGTAGTTCTCCAGTTGGACCTATTAAAAGCAGAAGATGAGCTTAAGCCCTAGACAGGTAATATCTCTGGCCCAGCCAAAGCCTTTCTTTCGATTTTATCTAAACCTTTTTTCCCTTCACTAGCCCGTCCCTCTTGGCCCTGTCTCCTCTACTCGCCCACCACACTTCTCTACCGGTTCCACACCTCAGCACTGTTAAAGCCCAGCACCTTGACATTGGGCAGCAGATCGAGTTGATGCAGTTTCCGATTCTGTCCCCTTTTCCTCCTTCCGTTTTTTCTTTTGCTGTTTCTTTTCCTTCCGAAGCAGCAGCTTCTCTTCTTGGGTCATCTCCCTCCCCGCTGCCTAAAACACGGACATAGAATATTGCCCTTCCCCCAACAGTCCAACAGATGAATAAACATTATTGGATACTCATAAGATTACCATAAGAGTAAATTCTTAATCCTTTCTAATTCCCACCAGCTCCCTATTACAAACTTACATCCCCCAGGAATTGAAGTTTCTCCTTTAGGGTCACATATGTCAGGGCTGAACGAAGTCTGTAAAATCTCGTTCTACTAAGTTATAAACTGAAACGGGTGTGGAGGTGGGGGTGGAATAAAGCTAACATAGCCTCCTGCGTAGCAAAGATCTTAAGAGGCTCAAGAAGTTACTCTCACTTACCCCAGGCCTAGAAGAAAGCTCCGCCTTCATCCCAGATCCCGAGTCTGCATCAGAAAACAAGGCACAAAGTGAGCAGGAAAGGCTCCGGGAGAATTTGGGAAGATTTTGTGTAGCCGGCTTTTGGGTCGGCATGACCACGGCTCCTCCGCCAGGAGGGAGGATAGCCAGCAATCCGCGTGGGGACGCGGTGCGCGGCAGGATCAAAGGAAAGGCGGGGCATGAGGGAGGGATCACCCACCCTCCTCACTGGACCCAGCCGGTACGCCGCTCGGGGCTGCGCCTGAGGCTGTGGAGATCGGAATGCGTGGTGGCACCGGAACAAGCCCACTGGGCCCGGACAAGCCTGGCACTAGTCGTCCCGAGCCTCTCTGCTCGCGTTAATCTGTTTGTGCTCCCGAGTTTTCCACTCACCCTTACGAACAGCCACAGCCACGGCAGCCATCACGCTCGTCCTTTGCACCGCCCCCTGTGGTCTCTGGCTCCGGTAGGGCCTTGCTAGGCTGTCACTGGGATTACAGCGCCACCTAGGCAGGAGGCTAAGCAGCCGACACTCCCAGCTGCAAACTGACTACAATTTCTTTTGCGGACTAAAGCGTATATAAAAGCTACGGGCCGTGCTAAGGGCCATTTTCAATTTGGGCTCCCAGTTGCGATGCCCTTTAGACTACATTTCCCAGCATGCCGAGGAGGTGCGACTCATTGCGGACGTTCCACCTCCCTTCCCACCTCTGATTTTAGGTCCCCCAAAATGGCGAGTGAGGCTGCGGGAACAGACTGAGCAGCGGAGGCAAGCGTGCAGAGCCTCTGCCGGCCTCACAGTCCGGAACCCGGCGGGCCTTACCGCTAGAAACATGCACTTTTCCATTCCTGAAACTGAGTCCCGCAGTGGGGACAGCGGCGGCTCCGCCTACGTGGTGAGGAGCGGCCGGCGCCGGACCGGGCAGGGGCGGGGATAACGGGCCGGAACCGTCTCAGAGCGGCCTCCGAGGCCTGGGCTCAAGTTCCCGACTTCTGACGGCCTTGCAGGGAGCGTATCTCACGTCCCAGATTTGTCCAGAGATTGCCCCAGCGCCTGTAGGTCCTTTGTTTGACTGCGTCGCCCCCGGACAGACGGTGGCTGCTCTGGGGGTGGGTGGGGAAGGGGCACCACTGACCTCTTGGGGCGGAGACTGCGGCATGGGTGTCCGACTCCTCGGATCCTCCCTTCTGTTTTGGGAATTGGCCGAGGAATTCTGCGGGGGAAGACAAGCTAACTCAACCTCAGATCTCGGCGCGTTACTCAGAGTTGTGCCAGGCAACTTCCGGCCTGAGCTCTCAAGGTGGAGGGTAGCCCAGACCCGGACCTAAAATGTTTGTCTGCTTTTGTGTCCGCAGGCCTATAACATTCACGTGAATGGAGTCCTGCACTGTCGGGTGCGCTACAGCCAGCTCCTGGGACTGCATGAGCAGGTGGGACTGGCGCTCCTGACTTGAGACAGCTTAAAGCCCTTTCCTACATAGAGGCATCAGTGTCTCCATTTTGACCTCTCATCCCTTTAATCACTGCCCCTGGGGAGAATCCAGTGCTTTATCACTTGACAATTCATTTGAAGTCCCTGTGACTCCTCCCCATACTCACATCCTCCTTCGAGCTTTTTTGTCCTTAGTCTTACTACTTTCAGCCTTTGCCTGTTCACTTTAAAACCGATCCCCTCCTGACTGCCAAAGCACACGCCTTCTGTCATCTGAGCTGCAACTTGAAATTCTTCTCCTTGCTCCTACAAACCATTCCCCCACTTCCTGTGTGTTCTTTGGCTCATCTCAGTGTATGTAACTGTTGCAGTTATTGCCATATTGTCTGTAATGACATGTAATGCCTGCTGTAACTCATTACAGAATTCTGGTTCTAAATTAAATGTGCAACCCTGAGCAAGTTATTTTGAGCCTCAGTTCCTACAGCTAATTTAGTCTCTAAATTCTAAGATACTTAACTAGTATTAAACTATTTGGGCACTTAAATTTTCCTTATAAAGCCCTTTTCTTCTCATCAGGATTCAGTTAACAGACTTGCTAGACAATAAAGAAGTTTCCTAGGCCCTGGCCTCATACAGACACCCTCCCTACACTATGGAGAGCCTGACTTGAACACAGTAAAGTAGGAAAGAATTTATATCTAGGACAGAGGAATGACTCTCTTGAGATGCTACCTCTGCCAAAAAGATTGTTTCCCAGATGATCAGGGTAGATATAATAGGAACTAGGGGAAGGAAACATCATGGGTCTAAATTTCCTCTTTTCATTTTCTATGGTTTATATGAAGGATTATGTCTCTTTCTCTAAATAGCTCCGGAAGGAGTATGGGGCCAATGTGCTTCCTGCATTCCCCCCAAAGAAGCTTTTCTCTCTGACACCTGCTGAGGTAGAACAGAGGAGGGAGCAGTTAGAGAAGTACATGCAAGCTGGTGAGTGGTTGGAGGGAACTTTAGTCTGACAATGTTGAGGAAAATGGGAAGAGACCAAAAAGAGCTGGTTCTACACTCAAAACCAAACCTAATACCATCAAGTTGATTCCAATTTATAAAAGACCCTGTGTAGGGTTACCAAGACTAAGTTTTTTACAGGAGCAGGCAGCCTCATCTTTCTCTTGAGCTAGTTCTATCAAATGTCTGAAATTCACTTCTAGATAAGGGGAGCAGTTTGTTCATCAACAAAAGCAAAGTGTGCAGAGACGTAAAAATACACTAGCAAAGCAATTTGGGCACAAACATTTATCAGAATACTAGTACCACTCCCCACTTATCGATATGGTTAGGTTCCAAAGACCAGGTTATTATGCCAAAATGAAAAATAACCACATCAGACCACAAAAGGATAACTACATCATTTTAGAACTGCCAAGCCACTGAGAATCATGGTCCAGACAAATCAACACACCACCTTTACCATCATAGACAGTGTTACTTTCACACCTTGGCATTCATTACTGTCAGATGTATGTTGTTAAGTAGCCAAATAGTTTTTGTTTTTTTTTAATTGTAGATGCAAAACATCAGGTAATGAGATAGTTGACAAGTCAGTGAGTAGGTGTAGCATAAATATTATTAAAGCAGCTTAGATTGTTGGGGAAAACTTAATCGCATCTGATGTGCTTTAGATTAACATCATTGTTATTTCCCTAGTTCTATAGATGACCCAACTAGATGGCAGTCAAGGGTGGGGCAAGTGAAGAATTTATGCAGTGAGTGAGGTGAGGCCAGCTTGGGGATGTGGCAGGTCATCATCAGCCCAGGAAATGGGGTCTGAGGACCAAGAAGAGGACTGGGGGAGCCAAGAGGCAGTCTGAAGTTATGGAACATCATTCTTTTGTCCCCACAGTTCGACAAGACCCATTGCTTGGAAGCAGTGAAACCTTCAATAGTTTCCTACGTCGAGCACAACAGGTAAGGCTTTGGATGAGACCAAAATTTAAGGGAAGGACCTTACTGGAGCGCTATAGCATCTAAATGAGGTGCCTATGAAAGAGAAATGGGATTTCTTCTGTACATGTTTTAAGTTCAGCTCCTTTTGTTTTTGCTTCCTGCTATTTCATGGGTCTTTTGAGAACTTCCAGGAACTCAGGAAGTGCCGGTGGGACACTTTTCACACCTCAAGAGTGCTTTGTCACTGACATGTGACCAGGATGACATTAAAGCAGCTGAGAACACATATTCACATTCTAAGTCTCACTGACACCAGAGAGCTTAGAAACAGAGCTGACCCTAGGCAGGAGTTAACAAGGCAGTGCCTTCTGTCTCTGTGTCTGTTCACAACCAGGAGACACAGCAGGTACCCACAGAAGAGGTCTCCTTGGAAGTACTGCTTAGCAACGGGCAGAAAGTTCTGGTCAGTGTGCTAACTTCAGATCAAACTGAGGATGTCTTAGAGGTGAGGTCCTTGTTTCTTTTCTCTCCCTGCAGGGTCTCAGGCTTGGGAGTGAATGGAACCAGCCTGTGTGATAAACTACTTTCTGTCTTTAGGCTGTGGCTGCAAAGCTGGACCTTCCAGATGATTTGATTGGATACTTTAGTCTCTTTCTAGTTCGAGAAAAAGAAGATGGAGCCTTTTCTTGTGAGTTTGTCTGGACTCTACCTTCTCTGTGCTTCCAGTAGTGAATTCATCTTCCCTTTAGTTGGAGACCAGTCCTAGGCATTTCTTTAGGACTTGTCTCCTGATTTCCCTTCCCAAATCTCATATTTCCTTTTTTTTCCCTAAAACCCTTAGTTGTACGGAAGTTGCAAGAATTTGAGCTGCCTTATGTGTCTGTTACTAGTCTACGGAATCAAGAATATAAGATTGTGCTAAGGAAAAGGTCAGGGCTGGAAGAGGTCAAGGCTGGGCTTGGAGCAGGGGGGAAGGTGCTGGGTTGAATTTATTGGGCCACATATTTGAGAAAGAATAATGTGAACAAGGGGTTAGAGCTGGATGTTTCTAAAAGGCCTCCCGAGTGTTTCCCCACTTAGTACCATTAGCCCCTTAAAGCCTCAGGTTGCTCCTGTTTTGTCCCTATTTGCCATTATTGCTTTTGTCACCCCAGCTTAGCCCCGTTACCTCTTTCCACCCCTTGGCCTCACAGTTATTGGGACTCTGCCTATGATGATGATGTCATGGAGAACCGGGTTGGCCTGAACCTGCTTTATGCTCAGGTAGGCTTGGAGCTGCCTCAGAAGCCCTACCCTGAAAATGATTCTGGTGTCCCACTCGCCAAGAAAATTCTTTTCATATCTGTGCTCCAAGATATGGGGAAGTTCCTTGAATACTCTCAGGGCACCAGGCATAGCCTCTACTGTCCCTGTTTTATAAGCAAATAGATAAGGACTTAAATGCAAAAAGAAGAGGTTGTTCGAGTATGGGACTAAGGGTCAGGCCAAACAGAGGTAACTTACTTTCCCCTAATCTCTTGACTGGGAATCCCACTGTCACCCATGCCCCAATCCTTGTGTCCACTGTAGACAGTGTCAGATATTGAGCGTGGGTGGATCCTGGTTACCAAGGAGCAGCACCGGCAACTCAAGTCTCTCCAAGAGAAGGTCTCCAAGAAGGAGGTGAGCCCAGCTTAGCTTCTTTCCTGTCTTAACATTCTCCAAGCTGCCCAATTCCCCTACCCTGACTTGCCCTACTGGGTGGCTACATTTCAGTTCCTGCGGCTAGCCCAGACACTGCGGCACTATGGCTACCTGCGCTTCGATGCCTGTGTGGCTGACTTTCCTGAAAAGGACTGTCCAGTGGTGGTGAGCGCAGGCAACAGTGAGCTCAGCCTGCAGCTCCGTTTGCCTGGCCAGCAACTCCGTGAAGGCTCTTTCCGGGTCACTCGCATGCGGTGCTGGAGGGTTACTTCCTCTGTGAGTTGGGGCAGGAGAGGGAAGCCTGCTGGGAGGAGGGCCTGGCTGACCTTTGACCTTCAGAAATGGGTCAGAGAGGGAGGCAGATTGGGCAGAATGAATTCAGCTGATTTCCCCCAACTCACCCAGGTGCCACTGCCCAGTGGAGGAACGAGCAGCCCAGGCCGGAGCCGGGGTGAGGTGCGCCTGGAACTGGCTTTTGAATACCTCATGAGCAAGGACCGACTACAGTGGGTCACTATCACCAGCCCACAGGTGTGAACCTACCCTCAGGCCTCCCTTGGGCCCCATTGTACAACCTCAGATACCCAAGTCCAGGGCTTACAGGACTCCATGAGAGTGGGAGCCCTTGTCTTAGGAGTACTGGGTTAGGATGACCAACCACTCTGGTTGAGTTCTCTTCTTTCCCAGGCTATCATGATGAGCATCTGCTTACAGTCCATGGTAGATGAACTGATGGTGAAGAAATCTGGTGGCAGTATTAGGAAGGTAAGAAGTAAGGGTGAACTAAGCAGCTGAGTGGTAGTACTCTTCCTGCCTTTTGTCCTGGGTATGAGGGTTCTCTCGAGGAGGAAAGGATTGGGAGTCTAAAGGGAATAACCTTGTCCTTATCAGCACCTATCTCCCATCACAGATGCTGCGCCGGCGGGTGGGGGGCTCCCTGAAGCGTTCTGACAGTCAGCAAGCAGTGAAGTCCCCGCCACTACTTGTAAGCATTACTGGTCAATACCTCGGCTACCAGCCTTGTTTCCCCCTTCCATAGTGACGTCTCTGACATCTCTGCCTCCTTTTCCCCAGGAGTCACCTGATGCTAGCAGGGAGTCCATAGTCAAACTCTCAGTGAGTTACCTGAGGGTTGGTGAGGTTGGTATTTACAAGGGACCCTGAGGAACTCCAGCCCTCTGACTTCCCACCCTGCCTCTGTTACAGAGCAAGCTGAGTGCCGTGAGTTTGCGGGGGATTGGCAGTCCCAGCACAGATGCCAGTGCCAGTGATGTCCACGGCAATTTCGCCTTTGAGGGCATTGGAGATGAGGATCTGTAATCTTCACTGCTTGAAATGTCTGCCCTCTACCCCACACCAATATACAGAACTTGCCCTGTGCGCTGGGGGCCTTTTTCTTCCTCTTTCCTACCTTGCCCTTTTCTCCCCTTAGCCAGGGGCCTCTTAACCTACCTTCCCTCTCCCTAGGCTGGCTGCCCAAAGGATTGCCCCATATCTCCTTCCCAAACTGGCCCTCAATGTCAAGTTAGCATTTAGTGTTTTGCACAAGGTCCAAGGGATCATGGCTACCTGTCTTGAAGAAGAAACTTGGCTCTCCCCAACTGCTTCTGGCTTCCCAGGGCCTCAAGCCAAGTGGATGGCAGAGGTTTGTGTATGGTCTGGCCCAGCTCCCCGTCATTAAATTGATTGCTGCCTACCTTTGGTTCCCTCTCGCTGCCCCTGCTCCCCCCATCACAGCAGAGTGCTGTGCTAAGGAGGCCAGGCTGTGCTTGCCAGTGCTAACTCAGCATAGACATGGCTTTGTTAGTGTTTCCTTTATTATAAAGCACTGAAATAAGTTAAATAAACAGATGGGATGCTGAGTAGTCCCCCAGCCAGTCCCTCCACAGTTCCTGGGAGCTGTGGAGGCAATACAGGGCCTTTCTCACTGAGCTCATGAAGTGCCTCAGTCAAGGCAAGACCCCTGGTCCATATGGGCCTTCTGCCCATCGGGTTTGGGCTGGTCCATATAGCATTTATGTTAGTCTTATGTGGAACCCCTGGCCAGCGGGGGAGGAAGGAGGTGGCTTCTGGTCAGTCTGTATAAAACATACAGGAAGGTCAGGGCTAACCCTCAGAGCCCTAGAAGAGAAGGACCTAGTTCAGGGTGAGTCTGTGTGAAGAGTCCGGCTACCAGAAGTACCCAGGGCTGTTGGACCCCGAGAGCTCAACACTGAAGGTGTGCTATGAGGTGGAACCCAGCCCTCAGAGGCAGCGAGGCCAGGCCCTCCTGTCCCACCATGGCCATGCACCTTCTGGTGGCGCTTGTAGTTGTCCCAGTGGCCTGTGGTGTAGGCGCAGGTGGCACAACGGAAGGGTTTCTCGCCTGTGTGCCGTAGCATGTGGCGTTTAAGGTTCATGCTCTGGTTGCAGCTGTAGTTGCAAAGGCTACACCGGAAAGGTTTGTCACCCGAATGGATGCGACCATGACGCTTGAGGTTGGCCAAGTTGCCACAGGCATAGGGGCAGAGAGGGCACTTGTAGGGTTTCTCTCCTGTGTGGACGCGTTGGTGCCGCTTCAGGTTGTCCAGATGAGCAGAGGCATAGGGACAGCGGGCGCATCGGAAGGGCTTCTCACCACTGTGTGTCTTCATGTGCCGGGCCAGGTGGTTGGGGTAATGAGTGGCAAAGGGGCAGAGGCTACAGGCAAACCCTTTGTCACTGGGGCCCTGGGGCCCCCCGCTGGCCCCCCCACCAGCCTCTCCTCGCATGCAGCGCCCACACATGGCAGCTCCCAGCCGACTGCCCTCACTCTCCTCCAGCTCTTGTCCACAGCCCCGGCAGGTCCAAGGGAATAGCAGTTCTGGCAGTGGTTCTGGTCCAGTCCCACAAAGACCCTCCCCTTCACCCCGCAGCTGCCCACAGTCTGGCAGGAAACTGCCACCACCTGGTGGCACATGGAGGCTCAAATCTGGAAGGAGCAGAGTATCTGTGGGAGCAGTGAAACTTGGGCTATGAATCCAAGTAGTCTTAGGGCCACCCACCCCTGTCCCAGGTTCTTTGACCCCTAGGTTTTTACCTTCAGGTCGCTGGGGCACTGCCCCCTCCTGCTCTGTGGGACTGGGAGGCCGGGTTGGTCGTGGGGCACAGCAGCGGAAGCCACAGGTCGGGCAGGGAGAAGTGGGGGGCCCCGCATGGGTGCGCTGATGCCGCCTCAGGTTGCCCAGGCTGCTGCAGGCAAAGGGGCAGTGGGGACAGCGGTAGGGCTTCTCGCCAGTGTGGGTGCGGGTATGCCGCGTCAGGTTGACGAGCTGGGCTGAGGCGTAGGGGCAGCGGCCACAGCGGAACGGCTTCTCCCCGCTGTGTGTCTGCATGTGCCGCTTCAGGTGGCTCGAGTAGTGGGACACGAAGGCGCAGAGGCGGCATGAGTACAGTAGCCGTGGGGGCAGCGGGGGCCCCCCACCCGGCCCTCCTGCCCCACAACACGGCCCCTCACCTGTCGGCCCCCCACACAGCTGGCAGGCTGGGCCTGGCCTCTCACCCCTGGCCTCCCCTGGCCCCCTGGCTGGTTCCTCAACTTCACTCTCGGCACTTAGTGCCCGGCCGCCCCCGGACTCGTCGTCGCTCAGCCCGTAGGGAAGCCCAGGCCTGGCCCCCAGAGAGTCTCCTGGTGAGACAGACATGAGAAGGGACATCATCATATGGTAAGACCAGGCTCCAATTCTCCCTTTGTCACATGTGGTCTTCCCCACTTGCTTAGTATTCCCCCACTTCTCTTAGCTTCAGCAATCCCTTTTGTTCCCTCCTAGTCTAAGGTCTGGTGTGGCACTGTGGGCTAATGCATCAGACTGCAAAGTCGTTTGCACTGCAAAGTCAGTGGTTCAAGCTCACCAGCTGCTCTTTGGAAACCCTATATGGGGTCACTATGGGTCGGAATCGACTCGATGGCACATAACAGTCTAAGGTCTGTCTCCCCTGCAGCAACTTCAGGAAAGCCACTAGATTAGTTCAGATTCTGAACTAATCTAGTGGCTACGGTGTGCAGCTACACCTAGATTTACTGAATGGAAAAGGATCTGGGGTTCAGCCAGCTCACAGTGAACAACAGACTGAAATAAATCAATAATGAAATTCTTGGGCTAAGATAGTAAAAATACAAAAGGCAGAGAAAGAGACCTTTTTCTGTGCTCCATTATTAGTAAAGCCCCTGTTAGTATAGAGCTGATTACAAAGTGAAACATATCTCAAGAGCTAGAAGGAGGTGGAGACAGTATCAGACCAGAGGTAATACCACTTCTGATTCCCTCATGATATTTAAAATCATTCTTCACAAGTGGATTGGTAGTACACAGCCTGTTAGGATGAGGCGATTCTGAGGTTACAGGGAAGAGTTGAACCTAGAAGAGGATACTACTGAGTAGAGGAAAACCTCTATACTAAAGGAGCTTATGCTGCAGGGCAAAGGGAGATAAAACATCTGAAGGGTTTTTTAAGCCCTCTCCTAACAAGCAGAGAATTTATTTCTCTAAACCTTTTAAAAGTAGACACACAGGAATAAGCTACAGCGAGGGACAAGGTTATTAAAAGGGCATTTACTTCTAACCAGTTCCATGTGATTCACCCAGTCCTAGACACATGGCCTTGGGGTCAGGCCCCTTAACGTCATTAAACTAGAGAACCTGAATAAAGCTAGGAAGCTCATTAGTTAATTAGGCAAATGAAAAAACCTAGCTTGAAACTAAACCAGCCTAGGTTGTGGCAGGATACAGTGATCTGCATGCACACTGACATTAAACTTAGCTGCTTCCTGAAGGGCTGAGGGTCCTGACGGCCACCAATCCTTAACCAAGAGCCCAAACCCACCTTCAGAGTCTCTCTCGAAGCCCATGAGCTGGTCGCAGTTGCCGTCACCTTCCTCCTCTTCCTCTTCCTCCTCAAACTCCAAATCCTGGCCTAGTAGCAAATCACTCTCTAACACCAGGGTTCCGGGTCCTTCCTCCAGGGAGTCCTCAGTATCCACTGAAGAGGGGAGGGGGCTTGTGGATTCTCCCGCAGAAGCCGTGCCCATCATCCACACCGCGGGGAACCGGCCCGCGGGGACCGGACTTCCCGCACACGAACCCCTCTAGTTCCCTTAGTATCATGGTGGGAGTCCGGATCGCTCATTCTACCCCTCAGGAGTTCCCCCCTTCACCCCGACCTGCACCCACTCCACTGACCCCACCCCCGCTCCTCCCCACTCGCGGCCCTTGACCCCTGACCTTTGACCCCCTCACATTTCACAGGCTGCGGGTGGCTTTGCTTCCTTCGGGGCATCGTGACCGGCTCCAGCCCGACGCGCTTTTGGCCTGCGGCCACCCGGCCCCACCCCTCCCAACTCGGCCCGCCCACCCCCCCTTCCCTCTCAGGGCCCGCGGGCCGTCTCCATGCAGCGGCGCGGGCCCTGGGCAGCTCCCGGCCCTGGCCCCAGCGCCCCGCTCAGGCCGCTCCCGCCGCCGCTTCCATTCATGGAGCCCCCTGCACCCCCTACGGAGACCAGCTGGTACCTCCGTATTCGCTTCCGCTTCCGCCGCCGCAGAGCTACACGGGAGGCGTAGTCATGAAAATCAGAAGCAGAGGCTTTCATCGCGTGACCAGGAAGTGATTGTGACGCGTTAGCAAACCAATCAGAAGTCAGAAAGAAACCGGCCGGCGAGTAAGGGAAGAGAAACGCTGCTAGTTTTCAGTCTTAGGAGCTGGCTTACTGGGTCCTGACCCCTCCCAAGAGGAACTTAAGTTATTTAAGGCTCCAGGAGGAGGCTATGCCGGGCTGGTCAGCCAGTAGCTCTGGAGTTAGTTCCCCTCCCTTCTGCACATACACACTAACACACACACAACAGGGTCAAGTCTAGGACCAGGGCAGCAATGGAGAAAAAAATGACACCATGGGCAGGAGTAGGTTTTGGCCTTTAGTCTGAAAAAGTGTTGATTGAAAGTGTACAACAGAGAGCAGGTGCAAGCGGCTGGGGGCCATGGAGCCGCCAATAAAAAAGAATGTCCTTAAATAAAGTGTTCACAGAGTAAAAACCAGAACCGCCAGTCCTTCCCTCCAACACAACAGCACAGGCACAGAACCAGTGATGAGCCCAAAGGAGCAACGAGGAGGCTGGGGAAGATGGCAGAGGCTCCCCAGGCTACTGTGTGGAGGGAGAACCCTCTTTGGAATGGGCTGAGTAAAGCCACCCAGCATCCCTGGCACACCTCATACCCACTGCTAAGGCTAAAGGAAAAAGACAAAAATCAGTCTCGGTCCAAAGGGCTCAGAAAACAGTCTAGGTGGGCAAGGGTGTAGACGACTGCTAGTCCCGCTTGGCCTTTTTGTTGTCGCTGTTGCCATTTTCCTCGACATCCTCAGAGGTGAGCACCTCCTCCAGTTTCCGCTTGCCACTCTCTGGCTGGAGTTCGGCTGTGTTTCGGGGCTTGAAGGAAATGATGATGCAAGTCATGTTGTCACACCCTGTACCATCCCCCGAAGTGTCTGGTGCCAGGCATTGATCCAACAGCTGCAAAAGGTACAGGGCAGCTCAGTCAAGGGGACTGAACACCTTTCTGGGTAGAACCTAAAACTCTGTAAGTGGGTTGGTTCTCCCTGCTGAGACAAGGTGGTGGGAGGAGGGGAATGGACAGCAATTATCACAGCAAAACAGCCCACTTGCTAGTGCATGAATCTTAAGACTGAGTCAGAGAAATGAGGGAAAATGGAACTTTTTTTGTCAAGGTTTGGCATATTGTCAGTAACTAAAGATTCTCTTATGCCCTGGTCAGCTCAGGCTAAGAGAAACCTTTGGCTGTGCAGATGAGATGCCCTTTTCCGTTCACCATGGGACTCACCTCTTCCACAATGGATGACAGTAACCGAAGCTCCCCATTTTCATCTCGCTGGCTGATTTTTGATTGAATAAAGTCTACAACTTCCTGGCTGCTCATCACATTCCTGAGGTCAAAAACAATCAGTAGAATCTTCCTTAGTTCTACCACAGCAGAGTGGTAGACTGTAAACAGAGTTGATGGCACAGGCCAGTACAAACACCTAAAGATTCTCCTCAGCTCTGCCTTGGGTTTGGGGGTCTTATCTCACAAGAGGGCAGCACAGGCTCCAATCCTAGATCAGATTGAGAAAAGGTGCTGATCTAGAGCCATTAGATGGATGATAAAGCCGAAACTGCTCAGAGCTCTAGAAAAGAATGCTACATACAGAAAGGGAATGTTAGGGCGTTCCCCAGGTGCTCACCAAATGCCATCACAGGCAATGACCATGAATTCGTGGTCATCAGTGAGAGTCAGCACCTTGATGTCAGGAAGGGCTGAAATCATCTGTTCCTCAGGTGGCAGGTTCTTGTTTCTCTTGTAGAAGTGGTCTCCTGAAGTAAAGGAATGAGTGGTTGACTTGAGCAGTTTGGGTAATTCCCACAGACTTGTATTGCAGGCAGGTCAAGCTTTGTCATTTATTCTCTTCTTAAAAAGCATCATAATCTAGAGGAATGGATAACTGAGTTCTCGTTTTTTCTAGTTTCAGTCCTGACATCAGGTTGCTACAGCTTAAGTAAATCACTTACCTGAACCTCTTTTTATCCAAAAAGTAGAAAGGATAATGATACCTACCTTACCTATTTTAGAGACATTAAGGACAGAGGTAGTAGACACAAAAGAACTTTGAAAGGTTCTTTTGTTAGGCAGATAAGTGTTTGGGACAGACAGCAAGACCCTAAAAGTCTTTCCCATAGCTTCCTGGTCCTTACCAATGGCTCTAGAGAGGTTAAGTCCCCCGTTGACTCGCCCATCCATGGTGACCTTGCCACCAGCATTCTTGATGCGTGCAAGCTCCACTTCATCCTCTGGTTTGTGGTCATAGGACATGTCTAAAGCTTTGCCTGCCTCAGATACCACACAACGGGAGTCTCCGGCGTTGGCTACAATCAACTGTTTTCCTCGAATCAGAGCCACCACCGCTGTTGTGCCACTGTCAGAGCCAGGCTTAAGACCAATCGGAAAAAAAAAAAGAGGGAGAGAGCATGATGGGTGCTCTTGGTCATGAGCTCTTCATGGGTATTGTTGCTGACCATTCATCTATATGCATTTTCCTCACAGTGGGACCTCCAGGAGAGTTTTAACAGGAGAAGGAACACAGAGTAATCTTTCCATAAACAACAGCATACTCCCTCCCTTGAGACAGTTCTACCAAAAAGACTAACCACCTGGTTCATGTTGCAGAATAAATCCACCTATGACCATGACTTTAGTGCTAAGGTATCAAGGGGACTCCTGGCCCAAAATCAAAATCAGGAGTTTCACACCTGCCTCTTAGCTATTCAAAACTCACTGCTCCCTTTCCCCACACACCTCCTCTTTGCCTTCCATTCCAGGCACCATCATTTCTTCTTCATCATCATCGTCCTCTTCTGCCTCCTCGGTGTCATCTTCATCTTCTTCATTCTCTGCCTCTTCACTGCTGTAGCCATCTTCTTCCTCACTGCATTCCTGCCAGACAGAGGATCTCAGGCTGCTGAAACTGTGATGATCCCCTGTTCGTACAAGCCTCAACTCAAATCCAAAACCAAGAAACCCTGACTGAACACAGGTACAGGTCCTCAAAATACTGAAAAAAATGCAGCTTTATGAACATGATAGAAAACTGAAAAAAGGGGGAGTTAGGCTGCATGTAACTGTCATCCCAAGAATTATCAGCAGTCATGAGCAAGAAGCCCTGGGAAAATCAGAGCTGCTAGCAAAAGCACCTTTCACTATTGTTATGGTCTTTACCTAGCAGAAAAGATAAACCAAAACTAAATCTATTTGTTAAAGTGAGGAGGTAAGAGGGCTCATGGAACCTGTGATGGTAGAAATAATTAATTTAACAAAGTTAAAGTTAAGGATATTTAGCTCTTAGACGATGATGTCAAAATAGAAAGAAAAGAGTTGAAAGACATGGGCTAGTGACCGAGCAGGCCCTATCTATAACTTCAGCATCTGCCTACCACCATAGGCCCTTACCTCACTGTCTTCCTCTTCCTCTTCTGCCTCATCTGACTCATCGTCACTGTCCTCAAAAAACTTGGACTTAGCAATTCGAGGCAGCTTGTCAGACGCTGAAGAGCAGGAGGGTCCAGCCTCTCCAGTGGGAGTGCCGGGCTCACCAACTGGGCCTGCCTCAGTCCCACGTTCTAAGTTGGAGGAAATGCCTGTGTGGGCCTTAGCTGTGGGACCATTTTCCTCTGAAGGAGCTTCCCTAGATGGGTCCTCAGGTCCTGTCTCCCCATTGAGGCCCTGGGACCCTGCTTCCTCGCCTGCCCCAGCTCCAGATTTGCTATGGGGAGGGCCCTTGTGACAGTTCTGCCCGTAGCGTGTCAGCAGCTCTTCAATAGTCATGGTAGCCTCTTCATGCAGCAGTGCAGCCTCCTCATTGTCCACTGCAGGAAAGAAGCTAAATCAGAGCCGCCAAGCCAGACTCCTCACAGGGTCAGTCCCTCACTATCTCCACAGTCCTTGTAGCCTGAGCACCAAATTGCCCACAACCTCCCACTCCCAGGACTCCTCTCACTTTTAAAGTCTCAAAAGAATGCCCCTCTGCTTCCTTCTCAAGTTTAACATCTGCCTCTAAATTTCCTTTGGTCATTGTTTTTCCAATCCCATTATACTCAAATGAAAAGTTAGTTACTATGTTTCCCCTTTCACTTCTCATTCATTATTGGACAAGTTTGAAACCCTATTCTTTACTAAGGACACAGGAAGCCTACAATGTAACTTGGCTGCTGGGGCTAATGACTGCTCCAGTCTTGAGGAAAAAAAAGGTCACAAAAATACTAACAGGAACCAGGAAAATCACCATCACAATGACAAAATATATGTAAAAATTCTTACAACTATGACACTAGGTACTCAAAAAGGTTAATTCTCTCTTCTTTTCATAACCACATATAGTGCACAAGAATACAACAGGTTTCTTTAGTGTGGAGATTGCCCAGGTCCCTAGGAATCATTTATCAATGATATATAAACTATATAAGGAATGGTTCTTCATGCTGTGATACCACACTCACCATCATCTTCATCAGCTACTTTTTCTTTTTCATCTTCGTCTTCAGTAGGTCGCCCTGCAATCTGTGCCAGCTCCTTAATGACGTCCTCAGTGGTCAGTTTGGCATCAATAGCCAAGAAGGCATCTTCCAAAGCCTGAATGTAAACAAAACAGTATGAGTGCAGGAAAAAGTAAAGTAGGCACGAAATGAATCATCTGTTACTCAGTCTTGGGCACAAGAAAAGTTTACAAATTAGTGTGT